GCAGCACCTTCCTTCTATAGGTGGCCTAGAAATAATAAGGTGGTCTTGGAATTGCCTTTGTGGCCTTTGGCAAATTCATCTATTCTGTTGCTGCTGCTACCATCCTCTTCTGAGAATAGAATCCAGCACCTTCAACATTCCAATATGAACTGAAGACCAGTGGTTCTTCAGAATCCTCCAGGATTTGAGTGCCAGATGGAGACTGCTGAACCATCCAGGGTCTAGCCTTATACATTAAGAATTTACCTGTTCTTAACCATTCACATGTGAAGACAGCCATTGTTGGACTAACAAGATGATGCCATGTAAAGCAACCTAATAAATTCCTCTTGAATCTATAGTTGCTCTTATCAACTCCATTCCTCTGCTAGGTAAACACGCTTCCACTGAGTCAAATTCCAAGATTCCTCTTGATGCAGCTCTGAGGCTAGCATGTGAAGATGCCACCTCAGCCTGTTGGAAGACAAGAGGCCACCAAGATAAATCCAAACCACTGAAAGTGACAGCTGCCCAGGATCCGGATCACCAGATCACCTTGTCACCAGCTCATCTGCTGGCTGGACAAAGTTGCATGGTCTGAGGTAGGCAGTGGCAAAAACAAAAAGTTGCATGGTCTGAGGTAGGCAGTGGCAAAAAACCGAGATTGTTTCATATTACACCAAACTCAAAAGGGTTTGCTCATATTTTTTAAGATAGTTAGTGAGAATTCTGGTAGCAGAGTAAGAATCCATGCTGTATCTTCTACAAGATCATGACAGTATTTAAGCTGGAAGGATACAAAGGCTTTTAAACATAGTTTGTGTAGTAGTTTGGCTATGAAATGTCTCCCATAGGTTTATGTGTTTTAATACTTGGTCCGCAGATGGTTGTGCTGCTTGTCATGGAACCTTTTGAAAGTGGAGCCTTGCTAGAGGAAATGCCTGCTGGGGCCAGGCTTTGGGGCTTTATAGCCTGTCCCTGGTGGGATGGTATCTGTTTCCCGAGTGAAACTACAGTATAATCAGCCAGCTTCCTACATGTGGTGCCATGTTGCCATGTCTTCCATGTCGTGAGATACTAATGCCTTCTAGAACTATCAGCCAAAGCAAACTTCTCTTTTAAGATGTTTTATCACAGCAACCGGAAAAAAACGAATACATGTCTGTCTTATTTATCATGATAATAATCATGATAGTGATCAGAAGTTGTTATTGTTGCTGTCATACTATTACTCCCAACTAACAGCAGAGGTGAGTAGCAGAATGATAGTCCTGGGAGAGATGACTGCACCTACTCAGCATGACACAGGCCCAGAGGCATTTGTCTGTACACTTATTTCTCATGAGGAGAAAAGGCAATTTAAGCTAATGTATCTTTGGATAATAAACAAATCCATGCCAATGGAAATGTGTCTAAAACTTAAGAAGCATATTTAGACAGCTTTCTAGCTCTCAGAAATTATACATTTCAAAAAAAATTAAAATTCCCACAGTAAGTAAAAGTTTCAGCTGATGGGTTAGAAAATAAGTTTAAAAAAAATCTAAACAAAAAGATAAAGAGAAAATTACTACAGAAGAATTCTTTCCATCAACATCTGACACCTGAGAACCAGAAAGTGATAACCAAAGAAAAATCAAGATGCTTTCTAGAATCGAAATGACTGGCCCTTCTCAATGCATGTATAAAAGACCAAGCACTTTTTATAAACAAAAAGATTCACATGAAGGCATATCATGTCAAGCTGTCAAAACACCAAAGGAATCACAGGTCCTTGAGCACAGGAGAACTCAATGGACACACCTCATGCTCAGCTGCAGAATACCACTGTGCTCAGACAGTTCTGGAAACTAAACCACAGACCGATGCCTTCACCAATCTGAAGGGAAATCGTTTTCATTATTGAACATTATACACAGACAAACTAGTAATTAAAATGTGAGGGTATAACAAAGACATTCCCAGTTGGCAGGATCCTAAAAATAATAAACCTTTTGCTGGAAGGCATTATGTCTTCTAGTTGCCTGTAGTTTTACCTTTATAAACTTTGTGCCCACAGAACCTATATGGTACATTCATTGCTTCAGTCTCCACTTGCACCAATTTTCAGGCATGAAGCTTCTTTGCCCATCTTGGAAAGTCTAGTTTTAAGCTAGTGCCTCCTCTAAGAAAATTTTTATATCTCAGCCATCTGGTACAATGTTCTTTTGTTTGTTTTTCTTGCTCACAGACCTTTCTACCCTACTGGGTACTCTGCTCTACCTTTATTACATCTCTCCCCAAACAAGAGTAGCTTCCAGCAGGCAAAAGACCTGCCCATTTGTCCTTTGTGGCTCTGGTCATACATACCAACCATAAGAAGCACAACCCATTTAATATAATAGACATACATGTTGAAAAGAACTGTCAAAACTGAATTTCAGTGCACTCTGAGAATATCATGCCTAGACTATCGTATTTATGTTTTCCAGTCCCTATCACATCCAGATCTCCCAACATAGTCCCTACCTACAGGGTAGATGACATCATTTTAACAAGTGTGGATGGAAAAAAAAAGACTATTATTCTTTCAATAAAAAGAAAAAAAACCTGATTGTGTGATTTAACAATGTCAGTTCTAGATACATACACAGACTAAATATATGTTGATCTCTTGGCCAAGTAAAAATACCAATTTGTAACACCTTGCTATTTGAGGGATGATTATAAAATAAAGGTAAAAAAATGTTTGATTCTTTCAGAGATGATAGGAAAATGTTTAGATTGTTTTAAGTCAAATTATTAATTCATTTGTTTTATTTTTACTTGATTGTTTTTGACACAGGATCTCATGGACCTCAGCCTGGCCTCAAAATCACCAGGTAGCTGAAAATGACCTTGAAAAGCATTCTCCTCCTCCTGGCTCTACTTTTCAGTTTATTTGGTGCTGGAGATTGAACACAGGACCTTCTCTATGTTAGGCAAGCACTCTACCAACCGAGCCATACCCCCAGCTCCATGACACTCATTTAAAAGTGCTAATGTCTCATTGTGAAACTGTTCCACAGGGGCATGGAGGTAGACTGTCAAAAAAAGAATAGGCAAAACAACTTAATAAAGAGGTAGATAGCTTTAATCCTGCTTTTGCATTCTATCATCATAGAGACTGGACTTAAAAGATGAAACCCATCAAGCCATGGTTTGAAAAAATAGCTCACATCTTAGTCCTTCCATCTTTAATCAGAAGAAATTCAAATATTCACCCTAGATTCAGTTATTGGAACACATCAAAGGTTTAAGGTATTGACCTACTTTGACAGACAAGCAGATATAAATAAACTATTTCAATTAAACATAGAGAAGAGTTTTTCCATTATTTTGCTTTTCTTGTTCTTCATATTTAACACCGTTTTCATCTTGAGTCTCTTTGGGCAGCGTGACAAGGAACATGAATTTGATTTGACTTAGAAGCCACACTTTGATGCACACTAGGGTGAAAGAGAGGCTTTTTGGTAGCTATGTCAGTGAGTTCCTGACTTAACAGGGCACAGCCACAGACAAAAATACCCCAGTCGGGTAATTAAATATTTGATGGCCAGATCTATAACACGTTGGGTTGTAGAAAATAGTGCTGACCCAGGAAAACAGTTCAATTGTTTTTTTTTTTGAGTAAAAATTAGCTGCAAATAGAACAGTTTTATTGATGAAACAAACACTTCTAATTTTTCTTTGACTCTTGTTTAAGTTCAGGGGCAAAAACTAGACTGTAGAATTAGGTTCTGAATTACAAACATATCTATGACAGTGTACCCTGTGGAAGACTAACTTTACTAAATATTCATTATTCACAGTTAGTTAACTGCAGCTTCATAGAGTTTTCCAATGGCTAATTTGGGTAGAACAGGTAAGCTGATGGCATCTGGGTCACTCTCTGCTTTTAGTTTTCAGTGCCAGAAAGCTCTCTCTGCCGCTCTTAAGATCTGTCTAGCAATTACGGCTGTGAGACCTGGAGACAAACTTCCCTGCCAGCTGTTAATGCAGAAACGCTGCCTTTTAGAAGTCAAGGTCTCCCAGTAGTAGCTTGGTAACCACTACAGCAGCTGTGCCAGAGGCCATGAATATTACCCAAGGTCTGTCCGTGCGTTCACGCCGAGCCACCATTCCCATAGCAACACACATAGATCTCACTCCTCCTAGAGACAAGGCAGCAGGCAGAAACACCGTGACAATGCCCTGATTTTCCTAGCAAGATCAATGTCCTGCTTACTCTTCTTCACAGTAGTGATGTTTTTTCAAAAGGCAACCAGTGACCATGTGGAAATATGTTCACTCAGAAGTTACAAACCAAGACACCTTCAACTTGGACAACAGTCTGTGCTTTCAAACTAGCTAGTATCCAAATGACTGCATGGATAAGAAAATTCTAATCATAATGGCAATGACTTCTCTTTCATAGCCTGTGTTAAATCCAGCCTGAGGTCATTTCCTTGCAGACTTCAGAACCAGTTTGCAGTTTCTCCTCCATAAGCACACGCTTCCTCATCATGGAACAAAAAGAAACTTTCCAGGGGAGGGCTTAGTTTAATCAATGAAATTCTTTGTTGCTTTATTTATCAAAAGTATCATAAATAAACATACAAGGAGAGCATTATGAAACACCTATGAGATAAACTTTAGGGGAACAGTTGTTTTAGACTAGAGAAATAAACAATAGCCATCAAGTCTGTTTTGTAAACAGAGATGGTTCACTGACAAGATGAAATAAAATATTTTGGTATTCCATGCGGTCTTTCCTCTTTGTATATTTGGAGATCCTTTTATTTCTGTTTAAATTAACCTCCCACTACAGAAGCAAGTTGCTTAGATTATAAAACAACATTAAAGACTATTATTAACATCACATTTCCCCTAATCATGCCTGAGTTAAGCCAGCACTCTGGCGGATCAGGCATGAGATTCAGGGGGTACACCCACAGGCAGGCCCTCAGGGGACCAGTGCCATTCCTAAAAAAAAAAAAAAAAAAAAAAAAAGATGTGGTTTTTACCTTTGCTTTTTCCAACTGGGCCTGCGCCTGCCGCTCAGCTTCTCTGCGTACCGCTTCCCGGTCCTCTTCCAAAGACACATCTGAATCGGATGGGCGGCTGGTGTAGGAGTCTGCCGAACCCTGAGGGCAAGAATGTACATTTTAAATCAGATCCAGTGTGTGCTGGGTGCACTGGAAAAGCCTCGCTGATCTGGTAGTCTGCTTCCTAGAATATGCTGTAAATTCCTGAAAAGAGGAGAAAATAATCCATTTTGCAGCAACTCGCCTAGAAAATCACACTTTGCAGAGACTTCTCTAAGGTAGCTGTGTGTATCTGGACACCATTCCTTCCCCAGGTTTATTTACCAGAAACTATCGTTTCTGGAAGCCTCTACCCGTTCTTTTATCATTAAACCAACTCCATGGTGCAGTGCAGAGCTGAAGGGCACTGATGTGTTTTAAGGATAACTCCAAGAACAGCCTGAGGAAGGGAGCAGGTATTTACACCCAGGGAGACCAACAAAACGCACCAAGGGACTCTGATGAGTTACAAACTTGAACCCTCCACAATCTTGCTGCCTTGACACTAGTCCCCTTATCGCCACAAGGATGCTTTCCTGCATTAATGCCCACCTGCTACCTTGTGCAACAAAATGGTAAGACACTTAGCCTGTTTTCCCCCTCTTTCAGAAGCATATTTAAAAATACCTGTAAGCAGATTTTTAGTGAGAGCTGGCTACAGACAACACCTGCTTGAGAGATTTCCTCTGGTAATAAATCACAATGCAGGAAAGGGAGCTCAGAAAAAAATGACAGGAATCTCCCTAGCTCCCTCTCATGAAATCATGAGCTTATTAACTAAATCAAGCCACCCTCTCCGCAGGCACTTGCTGTAACAATAGAAAAGCAAGGAAAACAGTGTCTCCCCGAACAGAAAGCCCTCTCGCTTACACAGATGTCCGAATTCTTCAGCCTTCCTCCCTTGGCTCTTTTCAGAAGCCTGATCCAGGTGGCCTTCATGAGCCGGATAGAGCCTTTATTGTCCGCAGCTGCAGCCCTGGGCACTGAGCCTCAGAGCACGCTGAGCCCTGGAGAATCCCAGCACCTTTGCTAGCCATGCTCTAGGAAGCCCCTCTTCCAGCCCTCGGCTCCCGCGGGGGCACTCACTGCCTGCCCCGGTAGACTTCTGTCTAAGGAGAATCTTCTTATTTTCTCATCTCAAGAGGGAACACACACACACACACACACACACACACACACACACACACACACACA